TATTGAAATATCAGTTGCTTGTAGGGTTCAGGGGATCTCGTAGTCGAGCAGTCTCGACTAGAGCTTTCTTACTTGTTTAATTTAATATAAAAATATAAAAATTCATCTATAAGAAAGCAAACCTAGAGCATGAATTCTTTTGCTATACCATTCGTTCTATTGAAACCAAATATTTTGTTTTTCCTTTCAGCGAGTATCAGAGCTCTGCAAATAAGTTCGAGACAAATCGATTTGGCCATCGAAGTTGCTTCATATCCATTTTTCTAATCCGAAACTTCTTCTAATTGCACTTTGTTAGCCAAACATCAGAAACATGATGCAGGCCACTCAACATTAATTAGACTCAATGCGAACTTTAACTCATTAATGAGGCAGTCAAACAAACTTCTGTCGAGGACATACCTGAACCCACCCCTGTCCCTCCCCACACGCTGGCTGAGGCCAATCGCAGATGTGTCTTATACACTGCCACAGCTATTGCCACTTTTTGTTGGCCAGCCTCGGCTGACGTACGTGTCAAATTAGCGACGTTTTAACAAGCTCAGCGCGTCCGTAAGTCGTCAGGTTGTCCTTGTCCCTTGTGCCGGGTGCTGCATGATAGCCAGGACGCGTCCTTCGGCCGGCTCTGCCGGCAAATCAATCACGTGAAAGTGGCTAGCGCCAAAGTTTGAGAAACTACGTCAAATTGCCTACTTTTGTAATCGTCGACGTTGGTCGCGCTGTTGACTTTAGCTCGTCCTCAGCTAGTCCTGGCATGTCCTGTAGTTTTTGGGCGCTGTCGTCGTGTAGCACGCTGATTGCTTTTTCATTGCATTTTGTCAGCCGTACCGTCCGTCCTGTCCTATCCGCTTGTCCTGCTCGACAGCAAAGTTTTCTTTTGCTACCTGCGCGGCGTTTTCCAGCTCAATGGCTGCTAGACGCGGGGGCGGTGCGGTACGGCAGCTACGTAGAAAACATATCGTCAGCAATTAAGCGCGCATTCAAACGTCTGTCTGGGCTGCTCGGTTTTTTCGTTGTTGTTGTTTTTCTTTTCTTTTCGATTTGCTGCCAGCGGATGCTTAAAATCAAAATGCGATTTATCAGTTTTTTCTCTTATTCTCCAACCGCTTTCGGCTTGCCGCCCCCACCCTCCTCCCTGGGGCGATACGTTATGAGGGCTTAAAATTTTGCAATTTTCTCAGTTTTTATTCGAAGCGCCATTTATCAAAGCTGTGCAGCTGTTTGCTAGTTTATGACAGCTAATCCTTGAATACTATATCTTAAAGATATTGCCTTCGGCTTTATCTACCTACACACACACACACACACACACACATACACTAGCTGCTGCTGCTGCTGTTGCAGTGGATCTGTGTGGGCTTTTGTTCTATATGCTGACTGCTGCCAGTTCGATTTGCCATTTGGCAGTTTCGTAAACGTTTTACAAATTGATTTATGTGCTTAACATGTTGCCATGTTTGTAACCCTCGAACAAGCCCCGCCAAACGTCTCTCACAATTAGATTTCGCTCCAAAATAAACGGGAAAACTTTTCGGCAAGCCTCACCAAAAAGACAACCAGACAGAGAGAGGGCAAAAGAGAAACAGAGCAAGAGAGAGAGAGAGAATCGGGTATATATATATGCTGAGGGAAAGGGTCTCTGCTGGACCTAGACCTGGCCTGGCACATCAATCATCGATAAATGTCGATATGTCGGACCGTAAGGCATGGTGCGTGTTTTTGCCTTCACTTCTTGGCCTTTTCGGGCGCTTTTATTTTTATTAATAAAGCATTTGTTTTCCCATAATGAGCAGCGACAGCCGCCTGTCAGGATGCTTTTCGCATTTTCTTGTCTACATTGCCCGTTTTCTTGCAGCCGCATCAAATTTTCAGCGTAGACCAAAATCTTTCCCCAGGGCCAGCTTGGCCTGTGGGCGTGCTACAGTGCCTTGCGGCGGCATTCGCATAAAAAAGTGCCAACACTTTGTCAAGTTGTTATTACCAATAATATATATACACATATATATCTTATATATACACGTATATATTTCATTCTTTTTCTATCTTTTTTTCTTTGCTCTGCTTTTGTTTATGTACTTTGCCGTCTTGCTCTATCGCCATTCGCCTTTATTATGCGGCTTCTGGCACTCATTTTGTGTTTGTCATGATTGATGAGCGAGAGTCTAACGAATTGTGGGGCCTTCGCCTGTGGGCGGAACGTATTGATTGGGTTAGTGGGCGTTAACTGGGCGGCACAAGTGATCTCTACTTAGATAGTTAATAAATGGACTTTATTGACTTTTAAATTTTTCATGTAGATATTCGAAACCTCGAGCGAAAAATTATTTCGTGAACTCTAATTTTAAATTAAATAAATACTCTCAGTTTAAAAAATTCCTGGAATTATTAAATGTTTTTTCCAGTTATAGTCAAACTAAAAAAAATGTGTTTTAAAAGCAATAGAAAATTGATAGAGATTTCATATAAATTGAATCGAGTTCAGAAATTTCTGATTTTTTGCTGTTAAGGAAGTTTTCAAAAGCTTTTCATCAATGCCTTGCCAAGCGAAAATAATATTTTGGGAATATATTGCTTATATTAGTCTAATTATATTATTGGTATAAAATAAATTATATATTTTATTTCAATAAATTTATTTTATACATCGTTAATATAGTAATTATTTTTTGTAAATTTAGAATGTGCCGCAGATTCCCTTCTGTTATTCCTAGAAATTTCTTACGGACTACAAATACGCCTCTACTTTCAAAAATTCATTTGCCCATTTAGCTAATCAAATTTGATTTTCGTTTAGCGCCATTCCACAAGCAGAAGAACAAATAGACCAAGAAAGCATTTTTGGTCGCCGGCTTTTAGGCAGCTGCGCAACGTCATTTGCTGGCAAAGTGGCTTCTGTCAGCGACACAAATTCAATAAAAATAATAATAAAAATATTTACAAGCATTAACACGCGTTCAGCGCGTAAAATGTGCCTCAGACTGACAACTCGCAGCTCAAACACAAATCTTGAGCCGCAAAACGGCAAAATATTGACAGCAAAATGGCGCACAAGCATAAATAGTGTATGTGTGTGTGTGTGTGTGTGTGGGCGTGTGGGTATGTATTTGTGATGCACAGACAGAGGGTTGACAGTGTCACACACCCGCTCAATGCCAATGCCAGTGCCAATGAAATTTGCCACATTTTGCATATGGAATATGGAGGGTAGCGAAATGCTTCAAAGTATGCAGCAGCAGGAGAAGGGAGCAGCAGGGGCATCATCAGTGAAGAGAAGACAGACAGCGGAACGGGAATGAGAAGAAACATTTTGATGATGGGACGCAGCATGTGCGAGTGTCGTTAAAGCCTCGCAGCAATTTTTGGCAATTTTTCGCAATTCTTTTTTTTTTTCCTTTTTTTTTTTTTTGGGCGTGCAATATTTATTTATTATTATTTTTTTTTTTTTTGCTGTTGTATTATATGAGAACTAATGGCGAAAATATTATCACGCGCCATTTTGAAGGCAATTTCACGCATACGAGCGCTTATTTATTTGAAGTACTTGTAATCGCGGTGGTACTTACAGCGCACGCTGAGGTAATAGCCAATCGAGGAGTATTGAAAGTTCAGATGCCGGGATGTGCACTTATACCAGCCGGAGTGCTCCCGTCGAATGGAGGTAAAGTTGAGGAAACCATCGCCAGTTTGTGGTACCTGCGAGAGAAAGAGATAGGAGATGCGAGTGAGTGAGTGAAAAATTGAGACAGATTTGGCTGGGAGATGGGCGGGAAATGAGTTTCGTTCGGTCTTATGCGTAAACAATTTTTGGTAATTAAGGCAAGGCAAATAGTTGGTCCAAGAACTTTTTACGCGACAACTGCACGAAAATCCATTTAAAACTTGCTCCTTGCTCAAAAATCACAAAAGTGCTGGCAAAATCCAAATGCAGGAGCAGGATGCTGAGGATACCAAGGACGGAGAGCCTACGTATGCATAAGTTTTATAAGACTTACCGGCGTGTCACCGTCGTCCTTCTGCCAGCGCGGCGTGCTCGGAGGATTTGAGTCGACATCGCACTTGAGGCTAACTTCGATGCCCTCGCGCAGCGGATAACCAAAGCCAGGTGTGCGCGAGATGGCGAACGAGGGCGTATCTGCAAAGAGGGGAGGGGAGCAGTTCAGACAAGGGTTATAAGAATGGATATAAAACACAGATACGATGAGATTTTCGGTTAGTTATTTTCCTGTCTACCGTCTGCCGTCTGCCGTCGCCTGGCAACTGCCAACTCGCAGCTCGTAACTGGCAACTAGCGACTGGCGACTGGCGACTGTGGCAACATCTACAAAATAGTTTTTTAATTAAAAAATTACGACACAAAAATAAGCGCCAGCAGAAAGAAACTTTTATAATTAAACTAAATGCAAATGTGTGTTGTCTCCTCTTTTCTATTTTTATCTTTGCTCTCCCCGTATGCTCTTCAGCATTCACCACAAAACTGACGCACTTTGCTTGACTCTGGCGAAAAACATCTTGCCAAATTGCATGCCAGCCAAAATAAATAAGTGACAATAATAATGGAAACTATAAACTGAACATAATATTTACTTAATAGTTTGTTTGAGTTTGTAAGGAAAACATTTTAAAATAGCATGGGAAGGTGGATACAATTGGAAAGAATTCAAGTATTCAGCCAGTATTAATAAAACGAATAAATACTCAAAAAATAAATAAAATGATAGACTGCTAAGATATTTTATGTTGATTCTAAAATACAAATGAACTGCGCCATAATAATAATAACAGAACAATAATAATAATTTAATGTTAAAATATAAACCTATCGCATATTCTGTTTTTTAGTATATTTACATTGTTATTATTCAAATGTAATTTAATCCTTTATTATTACTAACTGATATTTTTGTGTATTTCTGTTTTATATTTTTTAAATTTAAGTCATATATATATATATATATATATATTTTTTTTTTTTTTATATTTTAAGTCTTTAATTTTTAATAATTGTTATTTTCTTAATTTTCTATAATATATTTTATAATTCTCTTTTTTTCATTTATTTATATTTTTAATATATATTTTTATTTTGATATTTTTTTTTAATTATTAACAATGTATATTTTCGTAGATTTATTTTAAATATTTTTGATATTTAAATACTTATTGTAAAAAAAATCTAATAATAATAACTCATACTTTTGTATATATATTTAAATTGTTAATTATAAATAACTTAAATTTTCGTATATATATTTTAAATATTTTACAATTTATAAAATATATATCTAATTAAAAATTCATATTATCATGTATCATAGTAAATCTTAAATTATAAGGGAATCAGATTTTCGTATATATATATATTTTTTTTTACTTATTTTTGTTTAATTTTTTTATATCATATTTTATTACAAATATTTTTTATTCATTTTTTTTAATGCCTACAGACAACTCTTTAATTCCTAAAATTTTGTTTATTCAGCTCGATAATGCACAAAAAATGTCTAGTAAATTGTTTGCCATTTCAATATTAAAAGTCGCTTGAGTTTCTTATGCCAGATGGGATTATTTAACATGTTAGACGAATTCGATATGCTATTAAATCTAACTCCATTTGGGTGCCAATCAAAAATCTATTGAATGCATGTCAAAAAGCTATCGACAAAATGCAAATCTCAATGCAAATGCGAGTGCAAATGTAAATGTAAATAATATGAATGTTTGGCAAAGTGACACGCCCACAGATATGCATATATTTTTATATATACATACATTTGTATCTTGTTGCATTCAATGCATATTCATAGGCATAAATCAAATGTTTTTTAATTAGTGTTAGACATACGGGGCTGTTGCCCAAAAAAAATACACAAACAAAAACAAAATAAGAAAAATACAGAAAATGTTACAAAATCTGAATACAACGATTTCAATCTTTTCAATTTTTCGCCACTGCCCTCAGTCTCTCTCTATCTCTCTTTCCCTCCCCTTCGCTGTCTGTCTGCCTGCTCCTGCTCTGTTCACTGTGGGCTTTTGTAACTAATACAATTTGATTATGCAGGGCAAATGAAATTTGTTTGTCGGTTGTTTGCCAAACTATTCAATAGACATTCATCTGAGTTGTGTAGCCTCTGTGTGTGAGTGTGTGTGTGGGCGTAACATGCAGACGGACAGTTGTCAGACATCATACATATATGTATATGAAAGGACGTCTGCCTGTGGACACTCAACGACGCCCGTTTGCCTTTTATGCGGCTAACCGAGCAGACGAATGAGATAGAGGGAAAGAGAGAGAGCTGGCGGGGTTCACAGGTCCTTGTCTGGTTAGCTCCCTGCCGTCCTGGGCTTTCGTCTATCAATTTGTTTGGGCAGAAATCTAAGCCACAAACTCAGAAAAAAGAAGCGCAAAAATTGTTGTGCTCCCCTAACTATGCATAACAGGCGATTCCAGAAAACGCTCTCTGTTGAATTTCACCAAAAATCATACAGAAAAATATGTAAAACTTATATATAAAATACACTATTTAAATACTTTAATATTATTATTTTTTTTTTTATTTATTAATGATATTTATAAAAGATAAAATAATGCTTAAAATATTGCCTAAGAAAATCAAACATTTCAATAATAGATCAGCCTATTTGGATCAGCCTATAGTCATTTGGTGATTTACATTGCGGGAATGTCGTCTTTAAATTGCTTGAATGTTGAATTTAATTTGTGAAATTGTTTTTAAATTGCGCAAGCATTTAAGGCTCGTCTCGTTGACTGTACGATTGATGTCCTTGATTTGCCTGTCAACTGTCTGCATAAAAATGTAAAAATTAAATGCAACAACAACAGCAAACACAACAACAACAACAACAATACAATCCTCAACTGTCTGAGCAAGTGCTTTCATGTGTGTGCATTTTAATTTATACAACCGTAACAAACAATAACATGCATGGGCGGGGCAGGGCGGTGTATAGGCTAGGGGCTTGGGGAAAAAAGCAGGAACTGTTCTCAGTTGTTCTTTGTTGGAAAACGTTGCGGTTGGGCCGCTGCTGTTATTGTTGTAGGCCTTTTGCTGTTGTTATTGCGGTTTTTGCAATTTTCATGCCTGGCCAAAGCTCCCGCACACACACACACACACACGCACACATCCATCGAGTGTAGTCAGATTCCACATTCCCATGCCAAAACTTAGTGATGCAAATCCCGCACGGCTTTTCTATATTTTCCAATCATTTCCACTCCTGCTCGCCCCTTCTATGGCTGGCTACCTTGGCATTTGTCATGGCATTATGCGGCTTGACGGGCATTAATAAAGCAAATAACTGTGGCACTTTGTTCAATGCTGATCCCGTCCAGTATCGGCTACCAATTTGAGCACGTGTCTGCGGCTTTGTTGCTGCCAATTAGTGCGAGTCCTTCTAATTGCTGCTGTGTGGATGGACGCAGTCATTGATTTTGATTTGCAGCTCGTGTTGATGGCGGCATAAAGTCACGTGGATGCTGATAGATGGCTGACAATGGCCAGTATTTCTCTCTCTCTCTCTCTCTCTCTCTCTCTGTGCTTGTGTGTGTTGACTTCTTAAGCGCACTGTTACTTTGATCACTCAAAAGGATTATTTGTGTGTCTTTGTCCTGGACAAACAAACTTGTTATGCAAAACTATGCCAAATAAGAGTTGTAGCAGTAGCAGTAGCAGCAGCCAGCCGAGTGTCCTGTTTGCATAACGAATATCCTTTGGAATTTTGTTTGAAACATGCGTCTGGCCTAACCTTGAAAGCGACGCAATTTTTGTTGCTTTGTTGCTCTTTAAATTGATTAAAATTGTTGTTCAGTCACTTTTGCACTTATTGAATTCTATTTGATTCCTTATATTGCTATTCATAAAAGATTTTGCAGTGCTAATCAAGTTGTTTGAAAAATTCTTCTGGACTTTGGCTCCGAAGTTAGCCTCTGCTTGGCCGAATGGCAGTTAATTAAAAACTTTGTCAAAGCTCTTACTTTTGATTTCTCAGTGCCAGCAGTGCTTGTTTCTTTAGCCGCTCTTGTTGACATATCCCTCAGCTCGTATAAAGCCGTGCCCCATTTCCATTATTTTATTTTTATTTTATTCCTTCTTTTTTTTTTAGTCCGTCCTTCTGCACTTTCCATTAAATAATTTCACCTTTGCTTTCTTTTATTGCTGCAGCTGCAGCTGCATAATAATTTCGTTGCCTTTGTTTTTCTTTGCTCATCGCCGACCTGTGACTCCACATAGCTGGCCCCAACTGCAGCTGCCCACCCCTCCATCAGCCCTTATATTATCCTTTAGCCACGCCCAGGCCGTTGCGTAGCTCGTGGCGTGTGTTAACTTTAGCAATTTAACTTTTTAATCAACATTTGCTTTTTGGTTTTCACTTTTACTTGTCGCACTCGCACTCGCACCACCTGCCTCACTTCTGCCTCACTCTCACTATCGCTGACTGTGTTAATTAAACAAGGTGCGATATTCCTCTTGTTGGGCTTTTATTAAAAACTTTTTCAACATTTAAATATGATGCCAAATGAGTGCATGACTTACTAACTGACTGACTGACTGACTCTGATTGACTGACTGACAATGCTCACACACACGAAAACTGATATGTGCAATTAGCTCTTTTCACATTCAGCAGTTAGGTAAATAAAGTTTTTTATCAAATGCTTTTTTATTTCTCTTTGAGCATATCTTTAAATAAATTTATTTGCATATATTAAACTGTTGAGCTGAATAATGGCTTTTATTTAGGTTAAAAATGTAGTTAAGCCAATAGCTGTTTAGTTTAAGTTTACTTTACCTAATACACACTCTTAACTTAACTAAGCGTGGAAGCCTTACGATTTATGTAAAATACTGAAAGTAACTCTTTGGCTAAATGAATATGCATATATATAATGATATAATTGTATAAAAAGTAGTCAAAGCGATAGTTGTTTAGTTAAATCATACGTTTTACAGCACTTAGATATCTAACAGCTCAAGTCTCTCTGAGTAAGTTAGCCTAACGGTTAGTTTTATTGCATTTAAAAGTAAAGGTAAGTATAATAAAATATAATTTAGTTTTAATCAATCAATTTTTATTAACTGTTTTAATAAACTAAAATATTCAGCTAAATAAAAATAAAAATTAAAATAAAGCTCATATTGCCAACTCAATCTTCAAATATTCTTTGCTATATTTCTAGTAAAATTTGACTAAACTTATTAAGCTCCAACTTACACTGCACATCCAGGAGTAGCGAGGCATTCTGGCGTATCTTCAGTGTGGGATGCTCCATGACACATAAAATCCTTGCATTGTGATGGGCCCTGTAGACGGCGGGCAGACGCGCTTCGCTCTTGGCGCCGCTGTTGATTTTGTAGCCGTTCTTATCCTGTGCGAGTAGATAGAGAAAATTGGTTGGTTGCTTTGATAAAAATTCCATTAGAATATAAGGCTTAGGCCGGGACAAATTGGGCGAAATGACAAGGCAGTCAGGCTGGCCAATTAGTCTGGGCCTGTTATCAGCGCGACATCATTAATTTAAATTAAAGCGTCAGAGCTGGGCCTGGGACTGGGACAGGAGCAAGGGCAAGGGCACTGCCTACGCCCACTGCTGGCAGTTCGCCGTGCTGCCTCCATCCGCACCCACCGCGCGCCTTGACATGCAAATTTGTTGGCACAGTTTTCAATCAATCATCCGGTGCGACTGTAGTTGGGCACCAAGCAGACCAAACACGCAAATTTGTGGCATTTAGGGTCTACGACAAACAAACATGCACACCCACACACACACACACACTCATAGAAAACTCTTCACACACACACGTATACAATAAACACTCGTGTCGACATCTTCGATGTGTTTGACAGGTGGCTGCGGGTGGTGGGTGTTAGTCGGTGGGTGGTGTGCAGCTCGGGTGCTTTGAATGGTTGGATGGTTTATGCAGCGCTTGACCAAATGTCTGCTTTTCATTATGCTCGAGTGCAAGACAAACAAATTTGGCGTAACCGCAGCCAAGTGTCCGTCCGGAGATCCGTTGTTTAAGCCGTAGCCAGAAAAGCCACCGTTATCCACACTTCATGTGTTTGCTGTCTCTCTGCTCCACCCCCTCCCTTCCACTCACTCAATATATATATATATATATACATATATATCTGGCAGCTCTTATGTCTGCATAGCTTGCGGTTGCGCCTGGTTTGCATTAAGACGACAATCCAATATGTCAAAGTGTCAGCCAAACGCATCGCCACTCCATTTCCCTAATGGAATGCTAAAGCTGGCTGTAGCTGGCACTAACCTTCTCGTTCTTGATCTCCTCCAGCTCCAGCACCTCGGCGGACACCTTCTGGGCATGCCGATCCACGCCGGGACTGAGCAGCACCTCCCAGGTGAGCGTGGGCCGCGGATTGCCGCCCTCGCTGACGCAGGCCAAATTCAGCTCCGAGTTCTCTTTGACTGGCACAAAGATGTTGCCCGCATCCAGGCGACGCGAATCTATCAGCAAATACGGTGGCTTCGGGCGATCTGCAAACAATAATTATTTAAAAGAAGAGAAGATTATTTCGGGTATTTATTTTCATATTAATAAACTGCCATATAATCTGTTCGGCTTAAAAAAAAAATATTTATAATAAATATTAAAGCTCTGCTGTTTCTCTACTATCACATGAACTGCTCTGTAAATTTAGATTAAGAATATTCTGATTCAGAAATATTATTTTAACAGTAAATATTAAGTAAATAAATGTTTCTCTCTTTGTATAATTCTATTTGAATCTTCATAAAATAGTAAAAACATTTTAAGTTTATTTTCAAAGTAAAAAAATTTAATGAATGATCACATTAAAAATTTGTTTTGTAAGTAAATAAAGTAATTTAATATTTATATGGTAAATTAAGTGAATATTAATATTAAGAATCTTTTTATATAATTATATAAGTAAATTAAATAATTAATAATATAAAGAAATTAACTTTTATTTAAGTAAAGAATATTTTTATTCAGATTTCAGACAACTTCAATATTTCAGCAATTAGATTGATATAACTAAATAAATATTTTATATTCAAAAGGGATTTAGAAGTACTACCCTATCTAAGTGTAAACTCAGTAACTTTTGAGATTTCAGCAGAGGTAAGACACGTGCTAAGACTGCGAAGGGAGCGTTTCGCAGCTTCTGTCATTTGCAGCTAGCTTAGCGCGCGCACAACTGTACCTGCGAATCGGCTAATAGGGAAAGTTTTTCTTTTCTCGAGTTGGCTCATTGCCCGGCTGCTCATGTGCCACGAGCTGGGACAATTTCGCAAATGTAACGACCTTTTTAATATTTGTCTAAACTTTTCTATGAGCCAGGAGGATCTGCGGCTGTTTGCCTCGGTCTACTCACCCAGGACGACCAGCTTGACGGGCCGAGCATTTTCCGTATACCGTCGCGTGTTCTCCGCCTCGCACTGCCATTTGCCGTCATCCTCGAGCATGACATTGGTGATGGTTAGCGCTCCATTAGCCTCCTTGATAAAGCGATAGTCGGTGACGCGCGTCGTGCGGTCCATGGCATGCACCACCTGCGGGCAAAGATAGAGAGAGAGAGAGAGAAAGAATGGGTGAGTGAGTGGGTGAGTGGGCTGTGAGGCATTAAATGTAATGTCTACTGAGTTGCAGCAGCCAGTGTGGAAATTATGCAAATGCCTTTGGCCGACTCTTAATGCAACATTCACAAATTTTATGATAAATTCAATGATCCCATCGCACCGCCATCCACTTATACAGCTGCCTTTCGCTCGCCATGTGTGTGTGTGTGCAATGGGTTTTTTCACTCGTAATATTTTAATACGAGCCAGCTTTTATTTACACTTTTATTGCGATTCACTTCAAACAAACGAAAATAATGATAATTTAAATGCGCTTGAGCGGCGCCCCAGCAAATCCACTGAGTACAGTTACTGTAATGTGGCAACAATGAACTCGAACTGGCTTACAAAAATGTGGAAAACAAGAATGGACGTTAAATTGCGGCCAATAGTTGTACTGTCCGTCTGTCCGCCTGTCCGCCCGGACTGGGCTTAATGTTCAGTGAAATTTATGTGCGCATTCAAATGCTATACAAAAATATGAAAAATATTCGTAAATATGGCGGTAAGTGCGGTGCGTGCTTAATGTGGGCGTGGCAGCATTCTCTGTTCAGCATTCATAAATAATTTTAATTGCATTTGTGCGCCAGAGCTTAACCTTTGGCTACGCATTAAGCCGACTTAAATACTCATAGGCTGACCATGTCCTTAAAGCTCGCGTATTCACAATATCTGCATCGCAGGAAATTTGCAAATATTCTCTATTTATTCTTGATCAACATTAGATTTAACCTATAGTCCATGTTGAATTTTCCAGTATTTATATTTACAGGAATTTAGTTTAATATTTATTTTAGATTTCTTTAAAATATTTATACTTTTAGTCATCAATCATACATATGTATATATTACATACATTTCACTATAGTTCGTGTAGCTGAAAATGGATCGCAGCTTAGCAATTGACTTTTACATAAAAAAAATTTATATACATAAAAAGAAAAACAGATATGTGTGGAAATGCTATAGTGAAAACTGCTCGACCAACAAATACTCAGTACTTGCAGGTCGAGCTAGCTGCTAACAAAAATATGTGTCAATTCGTTAGACTTTATTTATTTTATTTTATTTATTTGCTTTATTTTTTTGTATTTATTTATTCTTTTTTTTTGTTGTATTCCTTTTTTTACATTCTCTTTAATATAAATACTATCAATTTTCTAGTTTTCGACTGTTTTCCGTGGAAACGCATATGCCTCAAACTGACTCTACCCAAAATATAATACAAGAATATAAATACAAAATATAAAAACAAAATGTTTTTGCAACAAATTCTGGTGTTTTACTACGTAATACGCACAGCTTTTCACAGATATAGTAGAAAAAAAAAACAAAAACAAAAAGAATATATATGTATATATATTCGCTGTATGTGGAATAAATCTGTGTAAAATGTAGTATAAACAAAATATTTGTATTCCGCGCTTCCGTTTCCGTTGCGTGCGAGTTTCAATTATTTGTTAGAACCCTTTGCTCTACCAGCTACTGATTTTGTATATATTTTTTTATTTGATAAATTTTTGAAAAGCAGCGCAAATATTTATGCGTGCCTGGATTTTAGCAGTTTTTTCTTGCTGACTTGGCAGCGCGTTTTGTCGTCCTATCTGCGTGTGCGTGTGTGTGTGTGTGTATCTCGACTTCCGCTGAGCATTTGCTGCAGTCGCCGCGGCGGCCATTTCAGAAATTTATTAACCAGCGGCCGACGCTAGACGCAACGCATCGCAACTGGCAACTGGATTTTCAGACTGTGCAGCGACGCATTCAGTTGGAAATTTATGAGGTAACATGGCACAGAGATGCCAGTTTTGGCGACTGCACACCTGCAGCACACAGCACTCTCTCTCATTCTCTCTCTCTCTCTCTCTCTCTCTCTCTCTCTCTGTGTGTGCGAGAGATTTTGGTTGGGCAACATGGCCGCTAGACAAAAGCGTTAAATGAGCGTGGCAAATCCTTGTTTACAGCGTCGAGCGGCCAGCGGATTACACGCTCGATTGTTTTGGCCACCCGAGCCGGACCAGGTCCAGGTCCAGGTCCACATCCACGTCCACGTCCAGGCCCAAAGCTGGCAGCCAGTTTGCTGGCCATTGTTGCGGCATTAAATCTCACGCATGCGACGGCCTCGCAGCGATCTGTTTTCTGGTAATTATGATTTTTCGCCTTTTTGTCTGCCCATTGTTGTTGCAGTTCTGTTTTATCATTTTTTCTTTTTTTTTTCGGTTTGCTTTGTTTTGCAGCTGCCTCAATTCGCATAAATTGTTGCATATTTGAAGGCGCATTTGAGTTTAACATGCGCATAACTTTGCATAATTTGTGGCATCGTTATCTGGCGACTGCCATTTTTGGCTTTCTGTTTGGGTTTGGGTTCTGGTTACGTGTCTATTGCAGATGGTGACAGAGCCAAAACTAAATGGCATTTCTTTTTTTTTTTTTGCGTCTGTTTTCTGTTGGGCTGGTATTTTTGACAGTTATTATGCATTTGTTTTTGGTATTTTCTAATTGCGTTGTTTTAATTTTTGTCCATTTGCAATTTACAATCTACAATTTACAATTTACATTTGCCGTGAGATTTTATATGCGTATTTGTTGCGTAATATTTATTTATGGCTCTGTACAATAATGCAAATTTCAGTTTAGCTAGTTATATGATTTAATTATTTAACGCTTTTCAAATATAAAAATAAATATACATATATGTGCATTTATACATCAGGCATAACAAGTTGCGTTCCGCTCGCATTGTGTACAGCAAATGGTATTTGCTGTTAGTTATAAACATAGTTTTTACGCATGAATTTTCACAACATTTTAACATTTCATAACAACATTTTGTAATTTATTTTGAAAACAATGTGGCGTATTCATACAAATATATTTTTACTGATAAATAAAATTGTAATATTTATTTTAAATATTTTTTTGTATTTCAATTAGTATTTAAAATTATTTTCTCATATTTTACATTTTCGATTTTATTTTTTATATTTATATTATATATTATATATTTTATACTTTATATTTTATATTTTATATTTTATATTTTATATTTTTTATTTTATAATTTAATTTTTTTATATTTTATATTTTATATTTTATATTTTATTTTCAATATTTTATATTTTATATTTTATATTTTATATTTTATATTTTATATTTTATATT